TATGTAATCCGTTACTTATTCATAAATTTACATACATTTTTTACAAATTTACGTCATATAGTCTCAAATGATATTTAAGTATATCATTTATTATCTCTCTATTCTATTCTATATTCTATTCTATTCAATACACGTAATATACGTAGGATCGCTAAGATCCTTTATCAATCTTCTGAGCCAATTCTAAGGAAGGTGACATCATTACAGTCAACTTATTCTTCATCCTCCGTCAAACAAAATTCTCTAAATATATAAAATAATTAAAAACCTAAATAGCATAGAAATAATGTAAGTAGCTACTAATAAAGTAGGTACTTACCAGTAATCAAAACGAACTGAAGCCAGCGGATTACGGTGCGCCCGGAAAACTCCGTGGAGTTGCATCAGTAAAAAACTTCAACATAAGATTTCCCACTCATGATTAATTTTTGGATGTACGTCAGTTCAACTGAGATATTTCGATTGACAGTACGCCCTAAAAAATCCGTGGTTTGTCGTCAGTTGAAAATTTCAACTTAAGATTTCATACTCATGGTCAGTTTTTGGATGTGCATCAGTTCAACGGATCATTTTAACTGACCGTGTGTGGGGACTATAACGCTATCAGATCTCGATTGCCCAGGATTTATAAATTAATAAAGCCTATTGTTCCGCTTAGGTCCTCCAGTGATTCTGCCATAAGGACTATATCGTCGGGAAATCGAAGGTGAGTGATGTACTCGCCTTTGATGTTAATACCGTATCCTATCCAGTCCAGTAGCTTGAAAACGTCTTCCAATGCAGCGGTAAAGAGTTTCGGGGATATAACGTCACCTTGTCTTATACCTCTCTGCAGTTGGGTAGGTTTCGTACTCGGATAGCTACCGTAGCTCTACCGCACAAATATTTCAGTACTTTGATATACCAACAGTCAACTTGGCACCGCTGAAGGAACTGTAGCACCGCAAACATTTCGACGGAATCAAAGGCTTTCTCATAGTCCACATACGCGAGGCAAAGTGGCAGATTGTACTATTCGGTCTTCTGTTATATCTGCGGCAGTCCACTGCTGGACTTTGTCCTCTCACTAGGCCATGCGAAGATCGTCGCAATCTATAATTCTCTAAACAGGTGTTTGATTATTTGAGAAAATAGATTCGTCGTCGATTCGTTTTTATTGCAAGTATACATCTTAATATTCAGGGGTAACAACGCTTCTGTATTTTGATTCTCATTAGAAGATGAATGTTGATGACTGTGGGCCACAGTATACTATTCATCAGGTGGGTTCATCAACGAGCCCACTCGTTTGTCAACCTAATGCTATAAAAAATTAAAATTCCATTGGCAACTCACAAATAACTTCAATTTTATATTAATATATAATTTAAAAAAAATGTGACAGGTGACAACTATGTTTATTTTCTCTACATATTTTAATAAAAATAATTATAGATTTTAATTATAAAATGTGAGTGCACAAATGAAACGTTTATTGTTGTCATAGATTTAAATAGTATAACAGTGGTTTATATAATATGTGAAATTAACTACGAGACATAAAAATATTTCAAGATTGTGACATATGCCAAATGTAACAAAACAATTCGCAACAAAGGATTTCTGAAATATAATATATTTGATTGACTGATGAAGAGCTATCGTATCGCAAAGCCATATAAAAGTTTGTCGGGATATTTTTCATATTTGCGCATGGGAATTTTGTTGTTGTTCCCACCACAGTGCCTGTTCAGTATTTGAAAAGTTCTAGTCCGCGTGTGATAACTTCAAGACACGGTCCCTAAGGCCGCCATCGTTTGTTCTAGCGATGCCATACGTCGCTGGATCTCTTACACTGCAGCTTCCAACTGCGGGACCGTCCTGTGATACACCTACGTAATGACATAATATGCGTTTTGTTATCAAAATAAGCAGCCGTCATATTTTGACTTTGACTTTTTTATATTTTCAATATAAATTTTAAGTTACTTTATTGTGTTTTTTAATTTGTTTTAGGTTATTCTTTTTTGTTATTGTATTAACTGTTGTAAATGCAATCCGTGACCCAATCTAGTGATGGATCTAGAGCTGCAACAAGTCATTCAAATCTTTAAAAGGCCTCAACGTACACACTTCAAAAACACACAGGAAATGTATTAGCCAAAACAGTTCACCTTTAGACATACACCCCATTATTCCAAGTACGCCTACTTTTGCAGCCGACTTTCCAACTCCTTTCCACACATATCTTAGCCATTTGAAAAATAGTATACCGACAGTTAAAAGAATCCCTCGAGGAGCTCGAATAACCGTTGCTACACATTTGTCACAATTAATCCAGAAATGTTACATAAGCAATTGTATTCAAGACTCGCAGAACCTATTTGAGAGCTGGCAGCTACCTCGGACAAAGAATTAGTCCAGCTATTCAATGGGGAAACGCTACCAGTATCTTCGGAACCTTGCCTAAAGGACCTGCTTTTCATTAATATATTTTAGCTTTTATTTTAAGGTTTGTAGTATTAGATTTGAATTTATAATGTTGTTCTGTATGTTGTATGTTAAATGTGAAAAGAGACTTTTATATTCATTGGGTAGAATGTGATGATATTTAAAACAAACTTAAAATTATTAAAAAATAAACAGACGCTTTCGTATTAAATGGCCACTAAGTAAACTAAAAATAGAAAAGTCCTAAAATTTTCTTTAGTTTAATAGCGGACAAGGTGCATCTAATTTATAGTGTAGTTTAAGCTTAATAGCTGTAAGTGTACATCACTTGACTTAAGAACTTGGCTCCTAACGGTGACATCTCCATGGAGTGGAATTCTTAATTACGCTACGATTGAAATATTAATGGTTATTGTCTTTCTTATGGAAGGTTATTTAAATCGGGATTTAATTTAGTATTAATAAGTAGTAGATTTTAAACATTAGTATTTATTTAAAAGTGAATTTAAAACTTATACATTCAAATATATAATAATTTAATAATTTATGGAATTGCTAATCATCACTTGTGAATTTAGCAATTTCATTGGAATGGAGCTGGGGACGGATAAGTGTGCGGTCCTCCATGTTGAAAGGGGAAGGGTTGCTAACTCTGAGGGCATAGACTTATCTATGCCCGTGAACTTAAGAACCCTTTCCGAGGCTGAAACATACCGATACCTGGGTAGATCACAAAACATCGGTATCGATGAGACTGGTATGAAACAGTCAGTTTGCGACGTGTTTTATGCACACTTGACCAAAGCTTAACAGACTTTTTGTCCGGTGTGAATAAGGCACACGCATATAACGGCTGGGTAATGCCTGTCCTCATGTAAACCTTTGGCATACTCAGGTGGAGTCAGACTGAACTTAACGCCCTGGATAGAGAAGTCCGCACTACCATGACGTCCCATAGGATGCATCATCCGAGATCGTCGGACCGTATGGAAGGAGAAGGAGCTCCACGGGAGGTACTACAGGGCTCTACCTGAGCCTCATGTAGATACAGCAGCCTCCCTCAACTGGCTACGTTTCGGTGACCTCTTCGGGGAAACCGAGGGTTTTGTCTGCGCAATACAGGATCAGGTTATTAAGACCAACAACTATCGGAGATACATTTTAAAGGATGGCAGTGTCGACGTCTGTCGAGCTTGTCGCCATCCCGGGGAGTTACTTAGGCATGTCATCTCCGGTTGTTCGGCGCTTTCTAACTCTGAGTACTTCAACCTAGTAGCCAGAATTCTACACCAGGAGCTCGCTCTGAAATACGGTCTCGTGGACCAAAAATTGCCGTATTACAAGTACTTGCAAGAAGGTGCCGCGCCAGGCTCTACTGGAACCGAGCCATCATCACAGACAGGAATATTCTTGCGAATATTCCTGATATTGTGCTGATGGACCGGGCACAGTCAAGGATATTTTTGATCGACTTTACCATTTCGTATGACGAGAATCTCGTGAAAGCCGAAACAGATAAACGGACAAAATATCTGGACCTGGCTCACGAGATGACCGACATTTGGGGTGGTATGCTGACCGAAATTATTCCTGTAGACGTCTCTGCGAATGGGCTAATCCCAGTCAGCCTCTCGGGTCATCTGAGGCGACTGGGACTCCGTGAAGGACCGCTCCGGGCTCAAATGCAAAAGGCGGTGCTCCTCGATACCGCCCGCATCGTCCGCCGGTTTCTTTCCCTTTCCCCCTAACCCTAGGCCGTTTGGTCTCCCCAGTCGAGGGCGTCCATCTGGTTGGGCATTTATTTATTTATGTGTTTTTGTATTTATTTTATGTTATTGATATTTATGTATATTTATCTTTTCATCTTCGTTTATAATTATATATTTATAGAACTCAACCAGATGAGAAAACTATATTGATATCCCACAATAATAATAACATGAAACACACACACATGGCCTCACCATGAAACGGGGCCGGGTTTGGGCGTCTCCCGCTAAACGAAGCCCTAAAAATGGATGATGGAAATAAATAGAACGCGCAAAAGGCCGCTGCCTGGAGGTCGCCAGGGCGCGTCTGGAGCTGGCGCTAGACGCGACAGCATGTGAACCGTCAGCCAAGCCGTCAGGAGGTGCTGCATGACCACCCAGCAGCCGCTCGCATCCATCATCCCCACCAGCTGGCTTGGTGTCGGCAGGGTTTTCGCGGGCCCAGCAATCGGCACCCGCCACTGGTGGAGTACGCCGCATGCGTTGGATAACCCAAATGATCATCAACGCATTGCGGGCGTATTTCAGGACGAAAGGGGGAGAAACTGGAGGTTTTGCGTATCGGGCAAGGATGCATCGACTTTTTGCTGAGCTAGAGCCATCTTTAACCTTCACCGAGCAAAACCTGGCAGACCGGTATATCTTGCGCTCAAATACATTTGATGTCACCGAACTCGAATGACTACGACGTGAGACTGTTCCTTTATGGGGTGAAAATGCTGCGGCTGAGGATGCGGCGCCACAAATTGCTGAGCAAACGGCAAATGTGAATGCCGCCGTAAATTTTTGTTGTTGTGTGTGTTGCCATTTGTGGTTGATTCAAACGATGAAGGAACTGTCGCCCGGGAACTGGAACTAGAGCAAATGAGGAGTACATTGAAAGAGGCGATTGTGGAAACGCGCAGTACGCCTCTCGAAAATCGACCGCGACTTCCCCGCTTATCCCTAAGCAAGCAGAATCGGGTTGTCGTGAGTGCTCTGAAACCAATGCTGGTTACCTATTTGGAAGCCAGCCGGGACCTTTGCGAGACGAACTCAATTATTTTTGGCGCCGCACTGGCAGTCTGCCGTATTATAGGCGCCAAATTTTCCACGGCTGGACGCGCTACTGGACAAAGTAGTGCTATCCCATCCTGGAGAATAAGAATTGAAGAACGTATCGCAAAGTCTAGGGTCCTCATCGGCAGACTGATATGCTTCAGGTCAGGCAATACCAGGCCAAGGATTGTGCGCACCGTCAGGATGGCGTTTGCTGGGACAAATGTTAGTTTGTCCCAGCCGGATATAATGCAAAAACTGACAGAGCGCATAGACGACCTGAAGCAAAGAATCGCTGCTTGGGGAAAGGGGATTTGGCTATATACCGAGAGGTCGACACGGTTCAACCAGAATCTTCTCTTCCAGAGTGATCACAAGAGGCTCTTTAAATCATTGGAGGGACCAATAGTAAGTGGAACGGGCCCAGCACCAAATCAGGCAGACACGGTCGCATTCTGACGCAGCCTGTGGTCAGAGCCCGTAAAACACAACGAGGGCCCTTGGACGGAAGTTGTGGCGAGTCAGTGTGCGGGTATTACGCCCATGGACCCCGTCATCATAACGCCGGATGACGTAGCTGAGGCGGTCCGTAGGGCTCCGAACTGGAAAAGTCTTGGGCTTGACGGGCTGCATCACTACTGGCTGAAGGGGTACATGGTGTGTTACGCTGTGCTCGCCCGAAAGTTTCAAGAGGCTCTCAACCAGAAGTCGCTCCCAAGCCTCTTCACTACTGGGATCACTCATTTGGATCCTAAAGATCAGGGTGCCACAGACCCGAGCAAATAACGCCCCATCACTTGTCTACCGACAATAGCGAAAGGAGCATGCTCTTTTCTGAAAGGTCCCCAGGTCGTATCGGCCCGGAAAAATCGCTGGTGGTAAACTATTCCACAGAGAGGTTGTACGCGGAAGAAAACTCCTCTTAAAACGTACAGTGGTGGACCGCCAAGCATCCAGATGATGTGGATGGTATCGAGACGTTTACCGCGTAGTGCGTTCACGAAATTTGGCGGCTGGGATTAATCCGAACAATTCCTCAGAGCACTCTCCATGGTATATGCGAAAGAAAATGCAAAGAGATGCAACATCAAACACTCGGTCGTCGAAGATTCGAGCCGCTCTACGCTGGATGCGGCCAAGTGGAAGGAGCTGGTACTGGAGCCCCAGCCCAGAGATGGGAACAGTATTCCATGTGCGGCCGAATCTGCGCCTTGTAAAGTTGCAGGCGGTGTGCCGGCATGAAATACTGTCCCGCTCTGCTGAGCACGCCAAGCTTTTTTAGAGGCCAATTTGGCCTTCTCTTCCAAGTGATCACGAAATTGTACGTCACTCGATATGTCGACGCCGAGGATTCCGATACTGGCTAAGGCAACAAGGGGAGTGCCTTGAAACTGAAGAGATACGACAAAGGGGTTCTTTTTAGCGGTTAATGCGCAATCGTGTGTCTTCTGGGGGTTAAACTGGACTAGATTTAGTCGCCCCCAATCCGAGACTCTGTTCAGCAAAGACTCGACTTCAGACACAATTTTGTCCCGGCACTCGGAGACGTTTTCCCGAGAAATATTGGCTCGGCCGGTGTAAAGAGCATCACCAGTGCTGTCATCCGCATAGCAATGAATGTTAGGGTTGCAGAAGAAACAGCGTTGGCGATAGCACGCAGCCTTGTGGAATACCAGCATTAATAGGCTTGCAATCGGAGCTTGCACCGTCTACAACGACCTTAGTTAGTTATAGTACTTACTTGTGAGGATTATGAAATAATTTCTTGCTGTACATTTACTATTAATTAATATTATTAATTTAAGTAATTACTTTGAAACTCCTCTTATGTGGCTCACAATATAAGCACAACAAAATTTAAATAAATAAAGTGTTTATTTATTTAAATTTTGTTGTGCTTATATTGTGAGCCTCATTCCCTGACTATAAACGATATACTTAAATATCATACGAGACTATATGACATAAATTTGTAAAAGATATAGGTGTGTAAATTTATGAATAAGTAACAGATTACATAATTATTAATATATATTATATATAGGGGGATAAGTCGCTCGCGTCGCGTAGGCTATGACAAGATATGAAATTAGCTTAATTTTTAAAAACTTGACAGTGCTCGATTGTCACCCTTCCTATTATGACACCTATTCCTAGGCCCACCCTACACGTGTCCCCCGAGTGGTGCTAAATGAGCGACAAGCCGATACCACAGACTCGGCTCCACGCCGTGGTAGCGGCGTAAAACATACTACCCAATATTTTCGCACCATGAGGAACTATATAAAAGAAATGGCCCCGAGTTCCCGGCGCCTCTTTAAGGGGCAGGGGTGCGAAGAATCTCCGGGAGGAAAACCGGCGACGAGATTCGCCACCCGTCACGTTCTGTCTCCCGGAGAGGCGAAAAGTGGATTGCAGAGGCCCGTCTTGCTACGTTGAATGTATGTGGGGCACTGAATGATAAAATGGGTGAAGAATGCGACATGATGTATGATAGATGAATAGATGTGTTATGTGCAAATGAGACGAAAAGGAAGGGGAAGGATGTCACTACACAGGGCATGTATACCGCATACTGGTCTGGTGTAGACGAGATCAAGCGGGCATGCCAGGGGGTAGGTATCATCGTTTCGGAAAGAATGGACCAATGTGTGAAAGAGTATGAATGTGTAAGCTCAAGACTGCTATAGATACGAATGAAAGTGGGCTTAAAGAAGTTGTTTGTGTTAGGGGTCTACGCCCCAGACATGTCTAAGCCCACTTATATCCGAGAGCAGTTTTGGGAAATGGTAAGGATGGTGTTAATGAAGTGTAAGGGAAATGAAAATATTATTATGCTAGGAGATTTTAATGGAAGGGTTGGGTTGAGGAGGCTTGGTTATGAAAGGATATTGGGAACGTTTGGTGATGAAATTATAAATGAGAATGGTGAAAGTCTCCTCGCCGTATGTATGGAAAAGAATCTTTTGTGACGAACACTTGCTTTCGCCACAAGAGGATTCACATGTATACTTGGGAAAGAGGTGAGATAGAAGCATCATAGATTTCATAATTGTGGATGAAAGATTGAGGGGCGCAGTGGTAGATACAAGGGTTTACCGGGGTTCTAACGTAGGAACGGATCATTATTTGGTTTTATGCCGAATTAATGGTCTATTCAGGCGTTGGCGCTAGGCTCGTGTCTACTACTGCGTTACAGCGTATTAGAACATAAAGGTTACAAGATGAAGGTGAGAGAAACAAGTTCAAATGTAGACTGAAAGAAAATATAAGTGGTTTGGATGGATTATGTATGAAGAAGTTAGACTTGGAGAATGTATGGCAAAATGTAAAAAAAAGGTTTAGTGGATGCAGCTACCGAAGTATGTGGTGTTAGTAACAGGAAGAATGAAAGTAAAAATAATACGTTATGGTGGGATGATGAGATACGTATGGAAGTTGAAGGAAAGAAGAGAGCATGGCTAGATTTACTAGCAACAAAGGCTGTTAATTCTAGCGGTACGAATGATGATATTGAAAGAAAAAAGGCATTTTTAAACATCTTAATAAGGGAGTAAAAGAAGTAGTTGAAAGAAAAAGGAAAGAAAGAATGGATAAGAATAATAGAAGAATATCGGGTAACTTCCAGGCAAATATTAAAATATTCTGGAAACTTGTAAGAACTACCAGGGGACATTCAAAACAGCCTATGATGAGTGTTATAAAAGACGAGAATGGCTATATTTTGAAAGATGAAGTTTTGAGTTTAAAGAGATGGAAGGAATATTTTGAAAGCGTGTTTATGAGTGAGGAGACAACGTGTGTACTAAGTGAAGTAGAAACTCCGAAAGAAGAGGAAAGAGGTAGCGAGATAAGTATAGATGAAATAATGAAAGCAATGAAAAGCATGAAAGCAGGTAAGGCTGCCGGATATGATAGAGTTACACATAAGTAGTGGCAGGCCTGCTGCACACCTTGTTTAATTTCTGCGGGGAACTGAAGCGGGTACCGGTAGACTGGTGCAAAGCCGTGATAGTCCCAGTATATAAAGGAAAAGGGTCGCAGCGGGACTGTAAAAACTACCGTGGCATCAGCCTTCTTAGCATTGTGGGAAAACTGTATGCTAAGGTACTGATTGAAAGGGTCATGAAAGAAACTGATGGAAAAATTTGGGATGTACAAGCGGGATTCAGAAAGGGAATGGGATGTACAGATCAAGTCTTTTCCATGCGCATGATCGCGGAGAAGTTTTTGGCCAAAAACCAAAAGGTTTTTTGTGCGTTAATGGACTTAGGAAAGGCCTATGACAGAGTGGATAGGGATGTGCTATGGCAAACACTGAACTCATTTGGGTTGAGCGCTGGCTTGATACAGGCATTGGAGTCTCTTTATAGGGACTCTAGTGCTTGTGTTAGGATCAACGGGGTCTACTCAGACTGGTTTGACATCCATAAAGGTGTCAGACATGGCTGTGTGGCTTCCTCGTGGCAGTTGAACCTATTTGTGGACAGTTGTTTGCAAAATTTGAAAGTTGAAGAATGCGGATTAAGAATGGGTGAGTTAACCGTCAAATGCCTTTTGTACGTCGATGATCAAGTTATCCTTGCGTCGTCGGCGGCCGAGTTGCAAATGATGGTTACATTAATGAACAGATCATTAAAAGAAAGGGGTATGAAAGTGAACGCAAGTAAGGTGAAGGTTATGGTTTTTGAAAGAGAAGAAAGTAAAACGATTTGTGAAATAAGAATAGAAGGGGAGTTGTTCGAGCAAGTAGATGAGTTTGTATATTTGGGCTGCGTATTTAGCAGGGATGAGAGATATGATAAGGATATAGAACGACGAGTGAATGCGGGAAATAGAGTAAATGGGGCCCTGCACTCTATTGTGAAGAGTCAAAATGTGTCAAAAAAGGCACGTATGGCAATTCACAATGCTGTGTTGGTCCCTACTTTAACGGATGGTAGTGAAAGCTGGGTGCAGCAGAAGAAGCACGAGAGTAGAATTAACGCAGTAGGAATGCGGTCCTTAAGGAGTATGTTAGGGCTGAATCTGAATGACAGGGTAAGAAATTGTGTAATAAGAGTAGAGTGTGGTTTGCAAGATGATGCTGTGACCAGGATTAATAAAGGAATGCTTCGGTGGTTTGGTCATGTGGAAAGAATGAATGAGGAAGGAGTGACAAAGAAAATTTATGTTGCAGAAGTGAATGACAGAGTCAGAAAGGGACGTCCTAGGCAAAAATTTATCGACCAAATTGGCGATTTATTGAAAACGGGCCAAATTAGGAGTACCCTTAGCCGACGAGCATGTATGCGTAGGTGTATGAATGTGAAGGCGGCGAGAGAGGTGTGTCAGGATCGTGCCAAATGGAAGTCTGTAGTCTCTGCCTACCCCTCTGGGTGACAGGCGTGAGTGTTTATGTTATGTTATAAATAAAAGTATTGATAATGTTGTAGGTTAGAGTGACATAGGTAAAGAAA